AAATTCACACATAATTATAATAAGCATTATGATCCAGCTTTGACCGTTATTGACTTCCTTCTTCTTGTATTTTCTTTAATTTTTTATAATTATCCCAATAAATTGTGAATTAAACTGTAATATAAAATAGATGTTAATTACAAATCCATAAATATCGATTTTTATTAAAAAAATGGATGTTCCAGCATTATGCAAAGTAATTTCAAACATAAAATACTTAAAAATATGTATACCAAGTAAGACCATTTTGCATTTGAAAACCATTTAAAATTCCCATTTATCTATTTTATATTTAAAATGGATTAAAAGAATCTATTTTACATTTTGTATTTTAAATACTCTTTTTAAAAGTATTTTATATTTGGTATTTTAAATGGAATTCGAAAGGCATTTTACCCAGCCCTGGTAATTATAGATGCAATTCGTGTGGTAATACAAAAGTTATCACTAATAATAATGTTATTCTTTCATTATCTATTAACAATCTGAAGAAAAAAAGTTATAATCTTGATGACTTATTGAAAACTGCGTTTTCATCATCTTGGTGTCAAACATTTGATAAATTTTGTGAACGTTGTGGAAGAAACGATGTATTATTTAAAAGTGAATTAGTTCCGCCGAAAGAGATACTTATTATCAATTTAACATTATTTTCTTCAGAGGATGGTAAATCAGTAAAGATACCACACAAATTTAGTTTACATGCTGTCCCTACAACAAAAATAATAATAGCTGGACAGACATATAAAGCTATGAGTGCTATATTTCATTACGGTTCGTGTATCGATGAGGGTCATTATACAAGTATGTGTAAAAAAGGAACATCTTGGATTGAAATTAATGATGCACAAGTTATAAAAAACAATGGCCTAGAGGTGCTAAAGATATTTCTATATTATTTTTACAGAAAAATGTTAGCAAAAATATATAACGAGCCACATGTATTTAGCCATACGTATAAAACATAATAATTAATACCAAGTTAAATTCTATCCACGTAAAAAAACTAAAAAATTTAGCTTTTTAAAAAAGGTAGAAAATGCGCTAAGAGTGCTTTTGATAAAAAACCGTTTGGGCCAGTTTCACCAACCCCAATTACTTAATCGGCTGTAGAATCAACTAATTATATTTGCTGTGTAATAGACCATGATGTAAACTAGAACCCATGTAGTACTATCTTTACCAAGCTAAATTCTACAATTGTATATAAACTTAACTTTTTAAATAAAATAAAATTGACATACCTCTCTCGAAGAAATTAATGAATATAAGGTGTACAATATGTTTATACAAAAAGATAATAATTTATTTACATACAGACGACCATCGTTTTGATACCATTTTATAATTACTAAATTATATATATGTTTGACGATGGGGGTGGTGGTGGGATATTTAATTTAATTAACCTGTGAAATATTCTTATTAAATTCTACTAAATACATTATGTTAATACAAAAAAGTAGAGTATATAAGGGGATTCTAATCCAGGTCCTCTGAGGGGGGGGTGAGGGGCGAGGGGAACCCGTGGCGCGGGGGGGTCTACGTCACGGCAGGG